CGGTGGAGTACTACCCACTCCTAAAGAAACTGTACATACGCACGGTGGAGTACTACCCACTCCTAAAGAAACTGTACATATGCACGGTGGAGTACGCTATCCATTCCTAAAGAAATGGTGATGAAACCATGCAACACCTCATGACATGGATGGATCTGGAGACCATGATTCTGGGTGAATTTAAGTCTCACAAAAGAACAAATACTGTATATGTCCACTACTATAGGGATAAACACCAAGATGAAGGTAGGCTTCTGTTTTCAGGATATGTACTCTTTTAATCCAGGCTCCCAAACCAGACTGTAGTCTGTAAACCATATACCACCCTTCATTTGTACATCTTAAAACTTGACCTTGAGAGAGGATGCCTCATCTCAGGTGGGGTCAGTTTCCTGTGGGACGAGAGAGAAAACCATAAGATCCTGCTATACAACGTTGTTCCATGGTCATCCCAAATCAGCAGACACTCCAAAAAGAGTGGCTATGGAACCCCACTGGCAATTCAAGTCAAGAGGTTGGGGGTGAATGCTTGATTCAGAGAAGGCGATTGTGCTTCTGTTGTGGGGACCCGGGTGGGGCAACCTGCCATTGAGAAAAACGCTTAGCATTAAAATGACACCAGTGATGCCCAATGACTGATCTGGTTTTCAGCATTTTCTGGATTTTTGTTTTCTTTTGCTTTTTGTTTGTTCATATTAGGGTGTATCTCAGAAGTGTTATGTCATTGTGTGTCACCCTCTTGAAGCTGTGTTACATGTTTTTCTGATTTTCGGTGTATGAAATCTAGGATTGATGAACCTATAGGGACAGCAAGTAGAATAGGGGTTCTGGGGGCTGGGGTACAGTGTCCCCAGATGGTAAAAGGGAGATGTCAAGGAGTCTAGGAAGGAAAATCATGTTTGGAAACTGATTGTGGCAGCAATAGTACAATACTGCTTGATGTGATTGAACTATGAATTATGTATTATGATTGTACATGGGGCCCTTGCGGACTTTCTGGCACCTCACAACAAGTCACTCACTTTGATACTTTGTTATGACGTCCTAGGAAACTAGGACACTTCTGAAGAGTGCATTTTAGAGGTGGAGACCAAGACTGGAAAATGGAAAACAATCCTTCCATATAAAGTCCTCTTGGGTCTGGTTTTAGATGGGCTTATTGGATTGTAAGAACACAAACCTAGTCAATTGCTCTAAAATACTGCATCGTCTTAGTCTTACTCTAAAACATTACAGGAACTCTGCAAGCACCCAACCACCAGGTGGCCCAAGAAGATCAAGAAGTTCTGCACATTTGGGCTGGAGCCTTTTTGACCGTCAACATCACTTGGCTTTCTACTCCATGAAGAGTTAGTCTCAAACTCTCAGGGGCAGTTATTGGACAAGATCATTAATACCAAACACAAGTACAATTTTACTGAAGATAATTCCAAAATGGCTGCAGCAGTAGACAGGGAGCCTCAATCAAAGCAAGTCATGTTCAGAAGTGAATGTGTTTCTAGGATCCCTTGTGGCAGAGTGGGCTGCTAAGCACAAGGTTAGCAGTTCGAAACCACCAGTCACTCAGCATGAAATTTATATACAAGAGGAATTGAGCATTGAGAAAACATCCCAACCAGTCCAGTCCAAGGTCATAAGTCTGATATTAGCCCATATGTCCAATACCAATCTATAAAGTCCTCTTCAGACTCATGAAACACATGCAATGAAGCCAAATGCAGAACAATCACAAGCCAGTGGGTAGAAAGTCTTTGGGTCCAGTGGCATTGTAAGCATCTCAGTGCTGGCAGGGATCTCTCTGTGGCTTCTCTGGCTTCAGAAGTCTGGTTGCATCCATGTGGCTTGTCTTCCCAGGGAGCAGCAGAGAGAGAGAGGTGCCTTTCACCTCCAAGGAGGAAGTACCAGATTTCCCAGAATTCTCAGGAGAAGGCCATGCCCACACAGAAGTCTCATTGGCTATCTCCAGATTGACAGCCTAGACTCCACCCCTACACTCTTAATCCTTCAATTGACACCAGATTAGGTGACTCCCACACTTGCCATCTGTTGGTTCTGACTCATAGTGGTCCAATTGTACAAGTGCCCAGTGCTGTACTTTCCTCATACTTGTCGCAATGTTAGAGCCGTGTTGCAGCTACTGGGTCAATCTATCTCATTGAGGAGTTTCCTCTTTTTCACCAACCTTTAAAAAAAAATTGCTTTTTTTACTTTTCTTTACCAAGCATAATATCCTTCTTTAGGGGCTGGCCCCTTCCGATAACATGATAAAATATGCGAGATGAAGTTTTCTTTTGCTTCTAAGGAACATTCTCACTGCACTTCTTTCAAGAGTTTTGTTCATTCTTTCACCAATCTGATATATTTAATATTCTTCTCCAATACCGTTACTCAAATGTATGAGTTCCTCTTCATGTGTCCCCATTGTCTAGTTTTCACATGCATAGGAGGCAAACGAAAACATCATGGTATGGGTCAGGTGCAACTTAGTTCTCAAAATGACATCTTTGCTTTTTAAAACTTTGCATATTCACCTAGAGTCTATATTTTAGACAAGGTGCCTTTCTTTAAAAAGTATTGTACAAATTATAAAGATAAAAAATGTAGGTCTAAGAGCTCCTCATCTAAATTATTTGTAGATAAGTTTGGATAAAAATGTTTTACACGTGGGTGTTTGTTTTTGCTTTCAGTTTAAAATTAGTCATCCTGAAAGTGAAGATCTTGCCTTTCTGTATGGAACCATAGTAACAGATGGGAAAGACACTTACAGTGAAGAACCAACTACCAACATCTGTGTGTTTGCAGACAACCAGGTTTGGGCTATTTTCCTTAACGCTTTATTGTGAATGTGTGAAGGTATACAGTGCAGGTCAGTTTTCCAGTAAACAATTAAGACACATATTGTTTCATGTCATTGATTGCAATTCCTACAATGTACATTGCTTATCCCACTTCCTCCCCGTTTCCATTTCTATGTCTCCTTCTTCCCTAACCCTTCTGAACTTTACCTTGGGCAAATTCTTCTTTGAAAAAGAAAACAAACCCTCAAGTTATTCTAAGATATTTGTGCCTCCCTAGTGTTATTGAATCCCTTACGGTCCTGTTAATTTTTTGGATGAAAGTTGGGACATGGGGGTAAGTTCCTGGCCTAGCTGGCCACTCCACTTTTCTATGGCCCAATTTCTTCAGCTCAACCAAACAAGGTTAATGTTTGCCCTGTCTCTTACAAGGGGGTTGCCCTGCAGATAATGTGAGATAATAGGCAAATTCCCAGTGCTTCTCAGTTCTTCCATTAGTGAACTGAGCTTCTCTTCACATACTGTAAGGTATCTTTCCTTTTTCTTTATGGCCAGGATACATATCTGATTATGTCTCCTCTCAGGGTCTCATGAACTAGATGGTAGTTTATTGAGAGAAGTGAATCTTAAATGTACCTTACAAGTAGACGTTCTGCTTTCCCCAGGGAACTTCCCTATGTGACCAATATAAAGAGATAGGCAGGTCAGCTATCACCTGACCAGGAATTTTGGACTCTACTAATCTGTCCTATGACAACTGTAGTTCTTTCTCTTTAGAACAAAGTCATTTTGAGATAGTTTACTTATCTTGGAGACCCAGCTGTGCATTCGGTATGTTGTCTAATGCACCATGCATTTGAAAGTGTGTCAGTCTAATGGGGGAAATGCTGATTCTCCATTCCTGGTATTCCCTGCCCTGTGATGGGAACTCCCCCGTCCCTAGTGAAGCCCTCCTGGCCTCTCTCCACCGAGCGGAGCAGGATTGGCTTGAACTGATGGGGGGCGGGGGTGGGGGGGTGGGGGGGGAGTTGAGAGAGGAAATTCCGTTTGGGAGAGGGTTGCAGAATATTCTGCATCTCCAGGGCTCAGAGGGTGATGTATTCTGCTTCATCTTGGGGCATGGTGCTAAGAAGCTTCCCTACTGTGCCACCCTCATATAGCATCCCTTCCGAATAATATAGGTGATAGTTTGGTCTCTACTTAGATCTAAAAACATCTTCTGTAGCCATTATATTCTCCAGCCTGTAGAAATTAACTTCTCCATTAACCCTTAACACCACAACCCCCAGAAGTATTATAAATTTCTACACCCTATTTGTACCCTGCGAGAGTACATCTTAAGACGTGATGGATTCTGCAACGACATTGTGTGACACTGAGTATGTTAGCTCCCGTATTTATTTTTAAATGTATGCACTTGTAAGTAAGACACGCGAGCGCGCCTTTTCTTTTGCTCTTAAACAGGTTGACAGAAGCCCTACCGGCTCGGGAGTGACAGCCCGGATTGCTTTGCAGTATCACAAAGGGCTCCTAGCACTGAACCAGACCAGAGCTTTCAAAAGCGGCGTCACTGGCTCTGTATTCACGGGGAAGGCCGTGACAGTGAGTGGCCCCCAACGTCTTACTTGTCATGTGTCTGTGAGGCTGAAGAGGCCGGGGTTAGATGTTCAGCTGCCTCTTCCCTTAGCCCGAGACGAGAACTTGAACAGGCCTGTAAACCCTCTGTTCAGCGAAGGTGGCAGTTCTCAGAGGGGTCTGGAGGCCCCTGGTGGTCCCCAGGTCTCTCCCAGGAGGCCAGCAGAGTCAAAATTAAGTTTGCAACAATATTAAGATGTTATCTGCATTCCCTCTCTTTCTCTCCCTGATTTGAGAAACCCCAACAACTGCATACAAAACAAAACTGCTCTCCAGTGAATCACACGGTGAAGACGTTTGCAAAAATGTAAAGCAATTCCACATTCTTAAGTTTCTCTATTGTTTTGGAATTTTTCCCCCACAAAAATTTTAACATGTAATAATGGGTTTATTATATTTTAAATGCATTGATAAGGATTTTAAATTCTCCCTGTTTAAATTGCCAATACAATCAACATTGATATATAAGCTAAATAAGTAAGACCTCTTTGAGAATCTCAAATCTTAAAATGTCCAGGGTCCTAAGACCAAAAGTTAGAAAAGAACTAAATTAAGGTTTGGCTGGTTTTGTTTTGTTTTGATATTCTGAAGAATTCTTTCATGTTATATCATAGGATGGGAATCTTGACAAATACAACTTTTGTAATGAAAACAAGTTTTAAAGGTGTTGGAAAAGCTAATGAATTGGGATCTGTTAATGACTGAGGAATTGACTGATTTTTGTCTGTTGATATTGTACCCTGCCACTTTGCTAAATCTTGCCATTAGTTTGTTATTTCTCTCGTTTTCTTTCTTTTCCTGTGATTTCTTGCTGAATCTTTGGGATTTTCTATATGTAAGATAGCATCTGTGACTAGATTATTTTGCTTCTTCTTTGCCAATTCAAACGCCTCGTCTCCCTTTCTTACCTTACTACTCTGGCTAAGCTTTCTATTGCAGTATTGTGTAGAAGTCGTGACAAAGGGCACCCTTGTTTGGTTTCCATTCACAGGGAAGAAGCTTTTAGTCTCTCTCCACTGAGACGAATACTGGCTGTTGGTTTTGTATATACTCCCTTAGGGATTTCCCTTCTACTCCTATTTTATTGGAATTTTCTGTGACGTTCCTTTTTGCATCAGTCGATATGATCGTGTGGTTCTTTTCCTCTGTCTTATTGATGTGGCGAGTTACAATGACTGCTTTCCCAGTGTTGAGCCGTCCTTGCATGTTTGTCATGTCTCACTTGGTGATGATATGCTGTTCTTTTATCTTTTACTGAACTTGATTGACTAGAATTTTGTTGAGAATTTTTGCTTTTATGTTCATGAGGGGTATTGGACTATAATTTTCTTTTTTTAGGGCTATCTTTGCCTTGTTTGGACATCAGATTATATTTACTTCATAAATGAATTTGGGGGTATTCCATATTTTTTTTTAAATTCTGGGAGGGTTTAGTAGACTTGTGAGCTCTTCTCTGGATGTTTGTAAGAATTTTCCAGTGAAGCCACCTGGGTCACACTCATCGACTTCTTATTAATAAATGTAGAATGCATTGTCCTGAGCATTTGAGGTCAATGATACAATAATAATCTATGTCCATTAGGTTGCTCTCTGAGCTAAGTATTGTATACATGTCATTTAATTCCTACAGGAGTTTTGAAGTCCTTTATATTAGTTATTATTCATACTTGCCAAAATATCTTCACTTGCACCGTGCTCCTTTCTTAGGCCCTGTTATTATGTTGTGCATCAGGAGATAACATGGAGCAATAGGGAAGTTAGGTCATTGCCAGATGCCCAACCGTTACTGGCGAGCCAGTGTGAGAGTCCTGGTGTCTGAGCTCAGACCCAATACTATTCAGCATGACATTACACTATTAGACAAACATTTTCAACGAGGCTTTATATTATAGCATCTTTATAAAATTACAGTAAAACCATTGTACCTTAATCTAATATTTGAAATTTTAACTTAGATCCTTGGTTATCCATATTTAAACATCAGAAACCAGTCATCTGTAGATAAGTTTTGAAGTCATTTATATTATAGTTATTAATCATACTTGCCAAACTATCTTCACTTACACCATGAGCCTTCCTTCTCTAGCTGAGCCCTTCAAGGCTCTCTGATTGTACCTTCTCCATCTCTTTCCATGCTCTGGCTTCCTTTTCTTGTGCTGCCACTTAGGTGTCCCCAACATTTCCCCTTAGCCTCCTTCTCATCCCTCTTATCTTCAATTTGATGACTAAGGTAGTTAGAGATAAATGGCTCGGTGAGTCTTGCCTTTCGAGTTCTCGGGTCTCTTGCTCTGTGATAGTCAGACCAGGGAGCAGCTGTCTTAGCCAGTTCCCTGCTTCAGCTGGCAAGGTTCACTTCCTGCAGGACATCCCCGAGGAGAAGCCACATGGACCTACCCCAATGCAGCCCTGGGTGCTGGAGCACCCATGTGGAGACTGCTGCCAGTGCTGAGATGCTTACACGTTCACTGATTCGGCTTTCCTCCTAAAGTCAGCATCATAGTGTGTGTTTTGTGAGATGGAGGAGGGCTTTGTGGATTGGTGTCAGACATCTGGGTTAATGGGTTAATGTTGGACTTGTGGGCTTGGGCAGCACTGGGTTGGGATGTTTTCTTGATGTGCACTTAACCTTTATATAAAACTCTCTCTTATACATGAGTTTCTGTAGATTTGTTTCTCTAATGTACCCAGACTAACACAATGACCTTGAGCAATGTCCATCTCCTTCTGAGGCTTTAACTCCAACCATCTTTCACCGATGACTTCCAGACCTTAATCCCCCAGGTCCTTCTGTCCGACTTCTAGACTCCCAAATGTCCCTATGCTTAACACTAATTGATTATCCCACAGATATCTCAAATTCAACTGCTTAAAAAAAAAACGTTTTTCTTCCTTAAACGGGCTCTTCCTCTCCTTCCCATCTTGGTTAATGGCATCATCGCACTTGAGCCGGATCAGCTTATTCCTCATGGGTCACCAGGTCTGTTCTCCCAAGTGTCTCTGATTAGGTTCTCCTCCTCCACCCTCACGAAACACTGCCCTAGTAATTGGATTCGACCAATGAATGAACAGGCTTCTGGCTTTCTAGTCTTTTTCCTCTCCAACCCCCACCCCCCATTTCATCACTACCCTTAACTGACGTTTCCATGTGTCTCTCTCTCTCTTGAAGACCTGCCCTTGCTTATAGGAAGAAGCCGTAGATTGTCTTAAAAGTGAGGAAAAGATCATGAGTGTAACTTTTAGGCAAGATATGAGTGCAGACTTCTGACATTATGTTTTTCCTTCTTTTCCTCAGGAAGCAAAATGTGGTGGTTATAAAGCTGTCATAGTGGAAGTGTCGGGAAAAGCCCATTACACGGGTACAGCAAACTTCACCGTTGAAGATGATGACCCACTGAGGGATGGGTTTCTTCTCCAGTGACTTCCTCCATGACTCTTAAGTGCCTTTTTTTTTCTTCAAGCAATTATATTAGTAATTTTCTTTAACTCACGTGAAAACCAGTACCCAATGTTTACACATGTAAAGGACCTTCCACTCGTTCTAAAATAGTGCCCAAGACAAACAGTCACTAGACTTCCTCTTGTCCCTGAGGAAGTGGGAAGAGCCTCACTGCGAACGGCGAGCTCAGCAGCAGTCTCTCCACAGCAGCAAGATGCAGCTGCTGCTCCCGTAAAGATTGACCGCATTGGAATCCCTACACCTCTGGTGTCACTCGGGGAGTTGAGGAGTGTCATCACAGGATGACACTGTCAGAGGGAGGAACACCACAACGACTGTCTAGAAATTTCTGTCCCGCGTTTCAGCATAAATAGCTTACTTTTTAGTAAAACTATCCCTGTAGTTAATGATAGCGACAGAAACATTTTGCTTACACGTATTAACATACCCACAAGGCTGAAACTCTGCAAGTTCACCTTTTGAACCTTCTGATGTGCGCCTGTCAGAGCTGTCATTAAATGTCATCCAATGTCGGTGACATTTTGAATTTTGTGGTTTCATCTGCACATACTGTTTTCATTATTGCAGTGTGTCTATAGTAACTCGTTTTGTTAAATCTTCTGGTGTTTTAGCTACAATATTGTTATAATAGGTATTCATGAACCCATATCAATAACGGTTTTGAGAAATAAGTAATAAAGGAAAAGGAGAAAAGACTTAAAGGCTTGTGCTCAGTTACTAATAATGTAACTAGTAATGTATTCAATGAGGAAAATCTATGGGAAGTTCTACTCTGCCCTGTAGGGTCCCTGTGAGTCAGAATCAACTGATGGCAAGGAGTTTCCTTTTTTTCGAATATTTGCAAATGTATACAAGAACCTTGGTGGCATAGTGGTTAGGGACTCCACTACTAATCAAAGGGTCAGTGGTTCCCCCCAGCCACTCCACGAGAGAGGTCAGGCTATTTGCGCCCATGAAAATGTACCGCCCTGGAAACTACAGAGTTCTTCGGTGTTGGAATGAACGTGATGGCAGTAGGTGTCAGTGGGGGGATTCCATGAGTGTTGACTGTGGAGCCCCGTAAAATGAAATTGATGACAACTTCTTTTCTCTTTTTTATGATGTTGTTTATTGACCCGGATGTGAGGGTTCTTGTTTTCCTTACATTAAGGTAAAAACCATACTGAACTCTGTAGTAGTTGACCTTCATGAGTCAGCACCACAAGTCCCCTTCACTTTCTGCAAACACGGCCTGCCCCCTGTGTATCACAGGTTGTTAAACCCTGTGATATCCAATCCGATCCTGATGCCACACTCTCCTTCTGGCCACCCAGCTTCTCTAGTTACTGATGCCTAAACGAAAGAACCTTGTTCTCTTTAAACTCCCTCTGGGTCTATGTGCTGGTTCGTATCACCACGGTGAAGTGCCCTGGCCTTCCAATTCGTCTGTGGTACCCATAACTTACAGATGAGGACATTTATTGTTCATTTTTGTCAAAGTAAATATAGAACTACTATTTTCTCTCCAAATCTTATGAGTGACATTAATTTTGGGAGGAAAGTGCATAAAAGTTAAATTTCATATCACTCTGTCACATGCTGCCACATATGCCTAATAAGGGACACTATAAAGAGGGTGTTACCCTCTGCTACACTTGAAGCATGGTGCTGATTAAGATCAACAACAGACTGCAACACAGGTAAAACAAGCACCAACACAAGGAAGCCAGCCCCACATTCTCACAACGACCAATGCATAACATCAGGATCAACAGAGAAAAGATTTCGAAATGGTCAAGGGTTTCATCTTGCTTGGATCTACAGTCAATTCTCATTGAAACAGCAGTCATGAAACTAAACAATACAGTGCACTGGGTGAATCAGCTGTACACAATGTCCTTAAAGTGGGGTTGGCACTTTGAGGACTAAGGTACATTTGACCCAACCCCTGGTATTTTCAATCACCTCATCTGCATGTGAAAGTTGGCCATTGAATAAGGAGGACTATAGAAGAATCGATGCCTTTGAATTATGGTCCTGCTGAAGAATATTGAAACTACCAGGGACTTCCAGAAGAACAAACACATTTGTCTTGGGAGAAGCACAGCCAGCACAGTCCTAGGAAGCAAGGATAGTGAGACTTCATCTCACATAATGTGGACATGTTGTCAGGAGCGATCAGTCCCTGTGGAAGGCTATCAGGCCTGGAGACGTGGAAAGGCAGTGTAAAAGAGGGAGGCCCTCCATAATGTGGATTGACACAAGGGTTGCAGCAATGGATTCAAACATAACAATCACAGCAGGATGGCACAGGAGCAGACAGTGTTTTGTTCTCCAACTTGTTTTCAGTATTTAAAACAATGCACTTGTTGCTATCTAGTCGATACTGACTTATAGCAACCCTACAGGATAGGGTAGAACTGTACCATAGAGCTTCCAAGGCCAGTCTTTACAACAGCAGGCTGCTGCCTCGTTCTCCATCGCTGTGGGTGGTGGGTCCAAACAGCTGACCTTTTGGTTAGCAGCCAACTGCTTAACCATTGCGTCAGCAGGGTTCCTCGAGGTTACATTAGTGACTGTGAACTTAGGAGTTCTGACTGAAAATCCAGTGTGTTTCCACTACACTGCCTCCACTTCTCAAACAGGGCAGTCAGGACTTGTGCTAGGATGTACTCATATTACTGCACTTGAAAATGTTTTTCTTGAGTATTGACTTACATATTAAAATAGATATTGCCAAAATCTTTTAAAAGTTAACCCAAACCAGAGCTGAATCCTTGGAATCATTTTCAATCTCCCTGTACCCTTCCCTGTCTCCTTTGGATTAAAAACCTCTAGGGAAAATTAACTCTTCTCACTTGTGTCTAATGGTTACAAAGATCCATCGAATCTACCACATGCTGGCCACTCTTACCCTTTCCCATTTTCTAGATTCTCTTCCTCAACTCACGCAATCTATCTCTATATATAGATATCCATATATGTATATATTGAAAGTACCATGACCTGTCAGAAGAACAAACAGATCTGTCTTAAATATTGACAGAACGCTCCTTAGAAATGAGGATGATGAGATTTTGTCTCATGTACTTTGAATATATTATCCCAAGAGACCAGTCCCTGGAAAAGGACATTATGCTTGGTAAAGTAGAAGGGCAGCCCAAAGGAGGTCGCTAAATAAGATGGATTGACACACAGCTGCACGAATGGGTTCAAACTGAACAGTTCTGAGGATAGTGCAGGAGCGGGCAGTGTTTTGCTTGACTATAGGATGTGTTATTCATAAGTGGCTTAACCTCACCCCCAGAGTTTTAGATTTAAAAAGGTTATAGATTTAATTGTGTTCCCTCAAAAGATATATTAAACACACACACACACAATCCTCATACTTGTCAATTTGACCTTGTTAGGAAACAAGGTTGGGTGCTCTGTTTTACCATGGGGTCTTACTGGATTGGTGGGCCCTAATCCAGTATGGAGGTGGTCTAAGGCACAGTGGTTATACATAGAGCTGCTAACTTCAAGGTCAGCAGTTTCAGAACCACCAGCAGCGATTAGGGAGAAAGATGGTGCTTTCTACTCCATAAGAGTTACAGCCTTGGAAACCCACAGTTCTACTCTGTCCTACAGGGTCACTATGATTCAGAATCGGCTCAATGGCAGTGAGTTGAGTTGAATCTAATATGAGGAGTATCATAATGAAGAGACAGACAGACAGACGGAGGAGGGAAGAAAGCCATGTCAAGACCGAGGCAGAGAATGGAAGGAAGCATTTATAAGCCAATGCTTACCAGAGACTACCAGAAGCTAGGAAAGATCTTCCTTAGAGACTTCAGAGAGCACAGGGCCCTTCCCAATGTCTTAGTTGTGTACTTCCAGCCTCCAGAAGTATGAGATATTCACTTGCTTTTGTTTTAGCCCCCTCCCCACTCCTAGTTTGTGGTGCTTTGATTTGGCAGTCTTGGAAAAGAACATCCTGCTTGGTAAAGTCGAGGATGATTAAAAAAGGAAGACCCTCAAGAGATGGATGGACACAGCGGCTGCAACAATGGGCCCAAACATAACAATTGTGAAGGTGGCGCAGGACTGGGAAGTGTGGGGTTTTGGTTTGTTTTTTTTTTCTATTGTACATAGAGTCACTATAAGCTGGAATTGACTGACTGGCAACCGAGAGAGAGAGGGAGAGAGAGAGAGAGAGAGAG